TAATTTTTTTATTTTTTTGTCTTTTTTCGTGTCCGGCAATGGATCGCAACCCTCAGTGTCGCGCCCGTACCGGACCGGGACTGGCAACGGGATCGCAACCCTCGGCGTTGCACCCGCACCTCGCTCAGCCAGTGAGCGGGAACCGGTCTGTATGTGGGATCCGAACCCTTGGTGGGAGCGCCGCCTCGCTTCCCAAGCGGCGCACTGTAGCAGTGCGCCACCGGGCCGGCCCCGGTTTCATTTATTTTTAAAAAAACATTTTTTTATTACTATATCATTACATAACATAATCATTTTTTGTGGCCCTTTACCAATTCCTTACTATACAAATTTACTTTTTTTTTTTTTTAAAGGGATCTTAACCCTTAACTTGGTGTTGTCAGCACCACACTGTCCCAAGTGAGCCATGGTCCGGACCCAAATTTAACTTCTTGAATGGCTAAAGGACTATTCAGGTTATCTATTACATCTTGGTCGAGTTTTGGTAGTTGACCAACTGATTTTCAATAAAGGTACACAGGCAATTCAATAAAGAATAGTCTTTTTAACAAATGGTGCTGGAAAAAAATGGACAGCCATACACACACAAAATGGACATCAGCTGAACCCTCACAACTTATACAGAAATTAATTTAAAATGTAGAATAGACCTAAGTGTAAAATATAAAACTATAAGACTTTTAGAAGGAAACATAAGAGAAAGTCTTTGTAACCTTGTGTTAGTCAAAAATTTCTTAGATATGACACCAAAGGCAGTCCATAAAGGAAAAAAACAGATAAATTTGGACTCCATAAAAATAAAAAAAATTTGTTCTGTGAAAGACTGTTAAAAGAATAAGAAAAGCCATAGAGTAGGAGAAATTATTTGCAAATCACATATGACAAATGACTTGTATCTAAGATATATAAACAAGTCTTAAAATTCAACAATAGGTGTTTTAGTCCGTTTTGTGTTGCTATAACAGAAATACCTGAGACTGGGCAATTTATAAGGAAAAGAGGTTTATTTGGCTTATGATTCTGGGACAGCTGCATCTGGCACGGACCTCAGGCTGCTTCTACTCATGGCAGAAAAGTGGCAGGCAGCCGGCGGGTACAAGCAGATCACATGGCGAGAGGAAGCAAGAGAGAGAGAGACAGAAGGTTCCAGGGTCCTATAAACAATCAGGTCTCGTGGGAACTAATAGAGCGAGAACTCACTCACTACCCCTCCTCTCCCAGGGAGAGCATTAATCCATTCATGAGAGATCCGCCCCCATGATTCAATCAGTTTCCAACACTGCCACATTGGAGATCAAATTTCCACGAGTTTTGGAGGGGACAACACATCCAAACTCCATCAATAGGAAAATAAGCAATCCAATTAAAAAATAAAGGAAAGAGAAAAGAAGGGCAGAAGATCTGAACAGACACTTCACCAAAGAATATATATGGCTGGAAAATAAACACATGAAAAGATGCTCAATATCAACAGTCATTAGTGAAACGCAAACTAAAACCACAATGAATGATCCAGTTTCTTTACGGGTAATGGGGAAAAAAAAACCACAATGAAATATCAGTACACATTTATTAGAATGGCAAAATCAAAACCAAAACCAATATGAGCAAAAACTGACAATATCAAGTGCTGGTGAAGATGGGGAGCAACTGGAACTCATATATTCCTGGTGGGAATGTAAAATAGTTCAACCACTATGGTAAATAATTTTGTAGTTTATTATCAAGTTAAATAAACTTACCATGATCCACTAAAGATATTTACCCAAGAAAAGTGTTTTACACATAAACCTATACATGAATAGCAGCTTTGCAATTGCCAGAAACTGTAAATAACCATGTTTTATATTGACCAATAGATGGTAAATCCCCTTTCCACAGAAGAGGAAACCTAAGTAACGTGTAGATGGCTTTAACGATGACCCTTAATTTGTTCACACCTCCTTGTTTATACGCCCCTTTGCATTGCAACTTTGCCACTTGTCGATTTTGGGTTTGGTTATGTGATTTACTTTGGCCAATGGTCAAACAGCAAATGTGAGACAGTGATAGTGAGAGGCTTGAAAATGTGCATTGGGACTTACTCTCTTGCAGCTGGGAACCCTATGCCACCATGTAAAGAAGCCTGTGCTAGCCTACTGGAGGATGATAGATCGCTTAGCTATCCCAGAGTCATCTCAGTTGGGTTCTCAGACATGTGGAGTCTCAACAAGCCCCAGCTGAGCTGGCCCCTAACTGCCCAGCCAACCCAGAGATTCCTAAGTAATGTTTGCTGTTTCAAGCCACTGTTTTGGGTGGTTTGTTAAACAGCAAGAGCTAATGGATATAGCTAATACTAGGTTCATTCAAGTCTCTGATCTGGTGAACCCAAAAGCAAATTCCTTAGGTTTCTTTCTTTTAAAGTGGTTCTCAACCATGGCTGTGCATTGGAATTACCTGGATAGTTCATGATGCCAGGATCCTACTACCATAGGTATGATTTAATAGGTCTAGGATACAGCCTAGCCACTGGGATTTTTAAGACTCACCAGCTGATTCTAATGTATGGAAAAAGCAAAAAGGTTATCTAATATTGGCCTACTCTGCAATGAATATGGAATGAGTGCTTGTATCTCTAACATATCTCCCTCAGAAAGTAAATAGCAACAATAATGAATACCAAGCTGATCCCCAAGACTTTCAACAAAATTCTGAGAACCCAGAGCTTCACTGGTATTGAGTCACTTATGAAGCTTTCTAGATGATAGTGTAGATCTAAGGTCCCAACAATTAAAAATCCAAATAAATGTGACCTTAAGTTACCAATGGTATCCTCACCTGTTTGCTGAATTGTGATGGTGCCCATTTTTTATCCTGAATTTCACTACCAGCAATAATTTGAGTACCCGAGAATTCTTGGTATAGAATGTTTAAACATTTAACACAATGCAGTACCTGATAATGCTGTTCTCATTTTTTTTCTATATAAAAAAATCAATTCTTTGAGAAAAGGAGACAGGGTTGTATATAACTTCTGTGCTCAACTTATTTGTTATAATTATGTACCTGAGTAGTAATATGAGATTTTACAACTACATGCAGTGACTTAGAAACAAAGGGCTCAAAAACAAAAAAGCCAAACCAAACAACTAAAGGACTGTTTCACAGGAGCCTTAAAATCAAACTGAGTAATCCCTACACTATAATTAAACAGCTTAAACAGCACAAAACTTTTTCCTTGCATAGAATGAAATAAGAAACATTATAGAATTGTTTAAAGACTATATTCATAAACATGTTAAGATTCATGACCTTTCAGTAATGAGTAAATACTGGGAAGTTCACACACGTATCAGTAGAAACACTATTTTATTTTGCTGAATAACCTAACAATGTCAGTGCTTTATGATAAAACCACAATTCCCTCTTTAGACACTCTGCATTTTTCTCACTGTTATACTGAAGAATTTAAATGTGGTCTTTTCTTCTTCCCCTTCCAGAGACTGTTTATATTTCCTTATTATTTTGATATCACTTTTGAGTTCTGCATCCTTTTACTCTTTAAAATATATGCTACATTGGCTGCCCAGTTAGCTCACTTGGGAGAGCATAGTGCTCCAACATAAAGGTCATGGGTTCAGATCTCCTTACCGGCCAGACACACACACACACACACACACACACACACACACACTCTCTCTCTCTCTCTCTCTCTCTCTCTCTCACTCAACAGGAGTATAATGAAATAATTATTTTTTTAAAAAAAATGCTACATTGGTAAGTTTGAATATTTATACCAAAAATGTTAAGTTTACTATTAACCACAAACCTGGCCAAACCCTTACCACCATTCAGAAGCCACCATATTATGGATTTATTTCCATTGCGTTAAGGCCTTGAAGGTGTGTTTTATTAATAGAAAAGCCATTGGAGAGCTCACAAACATTTCAAATGCAATTATGAGCCATGCAAACCTGGAACTGCCTTTCCATGGACTTGTCCTCTTAAAGAGTTAAAGTCAGTTTTTCAGATTTTTTTCCAGAGAGTAGTTTATTTGAGGTGCATAAAATGAAATAAATCAGTATTATACAAAATAATAGAAATATTTTGTACTTTTATTTACAAATTAACTTCATAAACAAACTATACTAAATATGACCAAACAACAAAGTTCTTGGCTTCCATCCTTTATGGCTATAAAATAAATTATTTTTATTGCTATCTAAATCTGCCTTCTGCATATACACATTTTCAAATTGTCCCTACCTTTACACAGACTTAAGATAGATACTACTCTCTTTTTACACAGAATGGTAAAGTCTTTTAAAAAGCTAATTTAGAATAACCTTCTACTAGTAGAAACTAAATTTCAGAAAGTATAAACATTTTATAAATCCTTCAATTCAGGTAATTTAACTATAATTAATCTGTGAAAATATACAGTACAAATCTGTCAATCATCCACAATTAGGTACAAGTATTTATGAAAAAAAATTTTACTATGGTCAGAATAAGATCTTATTCACATTCCTGAAAGGCAGTTTTGTTCCCCCAAAATATTCCTTCTAGTATTTCTGTGTACTTTAGGAGAACACATTCTCAGTCCCACAAGAAACAATATTCAGTTATCTGACTTTCTGTTTTTTTCTTGCTTGAAACTGCTATGTTTTATTTTTTACCGATTTAATCAGCATTGACAAGGCAGGATCAATGGACTTCTTCTGAGATCCCTTTTGATTCTCACTCTCTTTCTTCTTTACTGCCTGAGTAAGTTCTTGTTCTTTTTGTTCTCTTTGCCGGGCTTTCTCCTCAAGGATTTTTTCCATAGCTTTTGTTTTCTTGAAATTAGGATCTGAGGGATCCAAGTTGAACAAGTGGGAAGTATACATCGCCTGAAACCGTGCATCGCTAACATTTACCTGTAAATTCAAAATAAAGAAATAAAATTAGTAAACCAAAAGGCCTCAAAATGGGGACCAAATGAAAGTCAGTGGGTTGTCGATTATGTAAAATACAAATTTCAGCATTTGTACAATCAGAAAATTGTTTTCCAACTGATCTTCAATGGAGTTTTAAGGCCTACCCTTGGACCATAATGTGCACGGCACACTGTTCTTATCGCACAATAACAATCTATTCATTAGAACTATAGTGGTTATATATATCATGGCCTGTAACTACAATGATCACTTAGATTGACTGAATGTAGGAGTGGTTCCCAAGACAGGGCTTCCCCATGCTTACAGCATGAAATCAATTTCTGGCTAACATAAGTAAGCCAATCAGGTCACATTCTGCTGTACTTTTACACAAAGTCACTGCATTCTGAGTATATTTTGAGAAATTTTAACCCGGATGCCAAAAATAAGTAGCTAATGAGAATGATTCATAGATGAAGAGATTTAAAGACCACTATGGGAAAGAATCCACCCCTGAGACCAAGGTCTGGCCAAACTTATCTTCTATCTTTCTATAAAAACATTGTGGTTCTACATCTAAGATGTACCCTTAACCCCAATCAGGTCTTTGAGGACTGCCAGGCATGGGGTGGCAGGCAAGAAAGGGAAGCATGGGAAACATAAGTTCACCTGGAGACAGACGGTAGCTTTATTTAGTTATGGTGAGGCCAACATTCTATAAAAACATTGTGGTTCTACATCTAAGATGTACCCTTAACCCCAATCAGGTCTTTGAAGACTGCCAGGCATGGGGTGGCAGGCAAGAAAGGGAAGCATGGGAAACATAAGTTCACCTGGAGACAGACGGTAGCTTTATTTAGTTATAGTGAGGCCAACGGATGCAATATCAAGAATTTAAAGCTCATGAAAAATATTTTTATGCATGATTATTAATGTGTGAAGGCAGATCTCATAACAGAAAATCTGACTATAAATCATTCTTTGTTTTTCATAAGAAAATCAACTCATTAAAAAGTTTAGTGGAACAGAATCATATATGAAACTGACTCACAGGAACTGGAGCTACAGAGTGGCCTCAAAGTCCCTCTACATACTACCTAGAAGTTATCTATAGGCTCCTCTCCATTCTTCAAACAAATACAAAATTTCCCCTGCCTCCTTCTGGGTTTATTCTCCCATATTAATGGTTGGAAGTTGTTAAGTAGTTCCTAATAGCTGTTTGTAGGTTTTCTATAAAAAACTCATGCATAGAGACTTTGAGGCCATTAACATGTACTCAGCAAAAAGAGAAAAAAGGAGTGATGGAAACAAGAAACACAGCAATTAAAACAGCACAGCCTACTGTGCTGGCCACTGCACACAGCTGAGTGTGACCCAATGTGACATAAACCTGCTCTTCTGCAGTCAGGCTTAATTAAGCACATCTTTGTCGGCATGAGCACCACGTTATAAGCTACATATTTTTGGTGCAGCATGGCTACCAAAATACAAATCAACTACTTCACATGGTGCTCAACCAAAGAATCAGTGATATGATCCACACTGGGGATGAACTGCTTGTGTTGGACTAAAAGATGGTGGCTTTGGCCCCACCATAGGCCCTTCCTAAGACAGATTTTCAAGGGTTACTTCGACTACACTCAATTTCTATCTCCAAAGCTGACTTGAGATTTAACTCCAACTTTAAGAGGGTAATGACTTGTGTCCCTGGTTACCTCAAAGTCATCCTCTAATAATTCCTTCTTTTTCATGAGCTGTTTTTTCTTCTTTTTGCTAAGATTTTGGTGCTCCACAATCTTGTTGTAATTGAAGTGTTTTTTGCTATCTTCCTCCTCATCCATCATGAGCAAAGCCATTTCAGCCTACGGAGAGAAAAAAAAAGTTCAAATGTACAAATGTTTCTTTTTGTTCCCAAAGAGGAGTATGGGGCACAGATATCCCCTATGCCTATGAAAGGAGATGAAAGAAGAACTCAATTGTTAAAGCTCCGGAGTAACATCTGTCATCTGTAAACTGATTGTGGATTACCTTTTTTTTTTTGGTGGCTGGCTGGTATGGAGATCCAAACCCTTGATCTTGGTGTTACATGGCTGCGTTCTAACCAACTGAGCCAACCGGCCAGCTTGATTGTGGGTTACCAAGATGCATAAAGAAACCCAGAGACTTTCATAAAGCAATAAGGCAGAATCTCTGGAAGCAATATTACCCAGAGCAGGTGAGGGGTGAAAGCTTGTATTTAATACCTAGACCATATTTCACACAGGAACAAGAGTCCTCAAATCCCCCAAATAAAAAATTTTCATTTTCACTTTGTTCTTTTTAAGTAATGACATTAAACCTAGCAAGCACTTATTTTGTGATACAAATTATATTTTCCAAACATATACTTTAACAACAAGGAGAATTTCTTTTTTTCTCTTGCTTTTTCAATCCTGATACTTTTCTATGAAGTCAGGATCTTAGTATTTGCTTCTGAAATCGACTATAATGTCTGTTTCCACTAAATAGGTATTTTTTTTTACCAGCCACAGGATTAAACGGAAACCCTCATGAATTAAGTAAACCACCATGTATACTAGTAAAAATACAAAGTAAGCTCCCAAACCTTTGTGTATCTTCCTATATTATCACTTTAGACTGTTTTAATTTCCCTTCACTTCCACCACTGGCTCTTGCAGTTGGCTTTCTTTTTAGAGTCATTTTCCGCAAAGATTTTCTTTATTCTTTAAATAACTATACGAGCATTACTGTATGCAATGAACAGAGAATAGAAGATACATTAAGATGCAGGGTATAGGTGGCTAGTCAGGCTCACTACTAAACAGTGCTGTGAACTTCAGCCATAGGGGGCTTTGTTGACTCCAATTTCTGCCTCAGCAAAAATACATATAACTCTGTGCCAATAAAGTGTATGACTTTGGACCCATAGGGTCAATGAAGCATAAGGTTCCCTGCATTTCCAAGAAAGATTGTAATTTTGTACATTAAATTTATGTTGTTTGCAATAATAAAAAGAGAAATTAGCATTTGATAAGCTGTAATAGCAAAGTCTATATTACAGAACAGATTCAGATTGAATTAAAACTTATGGCAATATTATATGGAGGTTTTAATAGTATTTTCCATCTCAATATAGTAAGGGTTTTTAATAATGAAATAATTTCCTCTTAATAATAAAAGGACATGCCCTTGGTTTGAGGTAAAATTTAACTCTGTACTAGTTGGAGAGATAATGTTTAGTGAAAAGTGATATTTACAAACTATGCTGCTAAAATATTTAATTATGTATCTTATAATTTATTTATAAATCTCATTGCTAAAATAAGTTACTTTTTAAATTAGGTACAATAGAAACTCATGTGGATAAGTTCACTGAAATTGCATATCTCAATTATCCACTAAGCAGGTAACAATGACCATGTTTTACCTTTTGTCTTTCTATCTCAGTTTCTTCCTCTGGAGATGTACTTTCTTTTGCAGACCTCATTGATTTTTTCTTTATACCTGGCACAACAAACAAAGATAAGAGGGTTAAAAATTATAGGACTATCAGCAACAAATTGTTTATACTAGCAGGAAAAAATGCAAGTTATCCAGGAATAATCTTAACAATAAATGTGTCAAAACTAACCGAAGAAAAAACATATTACTGAAAGAAGACTATATGCATACGAATGAAATAAATACAATACTTTGGGATGGGGTGACAGCATATTATGAAGAATTTCTTCTGAATGCAATTTATAGTTTATTTTGTCAACTAAAAAAGAAAAAACATAGATCATTTCAACAGACACAAAAAGCATTTGATAAATTCAACATCCATTCATAATAAAACTCAGAGACATTTAATGGAATTCTAAATAAAGTTCCATTCAAGGAAATCTTTATAAAGATTAATAAGGTATATTTGATGTACTAGTGGTATGGAATACTAAAATGTACTGAAAAGTGAAAATAACCAAAAAACTTACTATCCTATATAATGAGAGCAATGGAACAATATGGCTTAGTATATAATAAAATGTATCGCGCATCAGTGGAAAGAGAAGGGATTGTTTAATAACTGGTGCTGGGCAACTTACTTCATACTGGAAAAAAAGAATTGAGTTATAGCCTTACTTCATAATAAACAGGAAAATAAAATGCAGGTGGATTTAAGAATTAAACATTTAAAAAACAAAACAAAACAAAACATGGGCTAGCCAGTTAGTTCAGTTGATTAGAGCGTGGTGTTATAACACCAAGGTCAAGGGTTCAGACCTCCATACCGGCCAGCTGCCAAAAACAACCCACCAAAAACCAAAAGCAACCTATGAGAAAATACAAGGGAATAGCTACTTGATCCTAAATAAGAGAAATATTTTCCTAGTATAAGAACAATGGAAAAAATCAAAAAGAGAAAGGAACTTTGACTTTCAATATATAAACTCTTAACACTCTGTCCCTTAAAAACTCATCTGCAAAATGAAAAACTTATCTTTACAATAACAATTTGGCAAGTATAAGTTTAACAAAATCTTTTCTCTTTCTTAAAGACAAATTTGATCTTCAGTTAACTTTGTAGTTCTACTACCAGGCAAAACTACTTCTGGTAAAAGTGGTTCTTGATTGGAGAATTGGATGTATAGAGGTCTCTAAATGCTCATAACTTTGGGCTTCCCTGAATCCGATGACTATTGTAACTGGTATAAGAAGGATCTGGAGGCTATACCTAGGCACTGTTAAAAAGATATCAGTTCTGATTTGGAGTGACTACTGCATACTGTGTCTCCTTTCCTTGTACCTGAGCTATACTGCTGAGTGGACTGCTGTGACAACTCTACTGAAGAGAAACACCACACGCTGCCCTGTCACATGTCTCCTTGCCCAAATACCTGTGAGAGCCAAGTGTGACCAACTTAAGTCTTTTGAGTTCAACTGTCTAGTAGAGCCTAAGAAGATCTGCTGGTGGGTACTATACCACCTTAATCAAGTGATCTGTGGGACAATCTGACATCTCCCAACCCCATGTGATATAATATGACAGATACAGCATTGCCTATGAAGTATTCTTGCCAAAATCATTCAACATAAATCCTACTGAACCACTAGTCTAACTTCCAGTTTATGGCACATACAGGAGACCAAGGGACAAGAAACTATTAGATAAATCCAGAATGTGAGACATTCCAAAGATCACTACCCTTGAAAAGGCCAATGTTATGGGAGAAAAAAGTGTGTTTGGGGTCTTCTAGATTATAGTGAACTAAAGAGACAAAACTAAATGCATTGTGTGAACACTGACTGATTCTGAGAATGAAACAAAAAACTGTAAAAGACACTTTGTAAGTGCTTGCTATTACTATTGCTATAGTCTGACTACACATATATCAGATGTGCTGGCGTCCTTGGTGATTGTGCTGATGCCAGACTTTTCTTCCCTTTTTGTGCCTGTTTGAGTGGGAGAGGTTCAAAGGGAGTTGGTGTCAGGGTGGTATTGTATGAAAGATTAGTATGACAAGTTGGAAGGCTCAGTATCTACAAAGCCATGTTCTGTTACTCTAGAATGTTACTGTACAATGTCGATTTTCTCTGCACTGCCTGGACACTGTCTTCTTTGGATAAACTATGTTCTGCCTGTCCTTCCACTGCAAAAAAAACAATGTTCTCTTACAGTCAATTAACACAACATACTTAACTGTGTCAGGCAGTAGCACTGCTCTATTCACTTTATGTATATTAATTAACTTAATTCTCAAAACAATGTCATGGGATAGATTTCCCTGTCTCTTATAATCCTCATTTTGTAGATGAGGAAACTGAAGCAAAGAGAGGTTAAGTAATTTGTCATGGGTTTAGTAAGCAAAAGAACCATGATTCAAACTCAAGCTCTCTGGCTCAGGCTCTCTACTGGTAACCACTACATTACATTCCTTCGATATCAAATGTCATTCTGTTTTTAATAGTCCTTTCCACTTAAAATGCATTCTGCTGTGAAATAAAGAAGTTAAATTTACAGAACATATGATGATTGAAGAACTGCAGCTAATGAGGTATAACAGGAAAAGCAAAGCCTAAATTTGAGAACCTTTAGAAACTGCTCCCTGTGTATTAAGTCCCTGCTATACTCATGCAGACCTGTGCAGTAGACATGCCCAGACAAGAGAACATGCCAGCAAAAATGTGCTGCCAGGTTCACCCCTCAGGGCTACCAAGGCATTTGTTTTGCACTTCTAAGAAGAATCATTTATTGTATACAGCCCTTCTCTCTAAAGTGCAAATCTTCATTGGGCCTATCTGAAATGTTTTTCAGGAAATGATGTATCTACCTTAAGATTATAATCTTTTCTCTGTCTTAAAGTATGTGTATGTATTTACATATGTCAGTATCACCAAGGCTCCACTTTCTTAGGGTCTGAACTTCCATCCCTAAGTTTACCTCTGCTCCTGTACTCTCAAGTCAAGAGCTCCTTTTGACATGAACAAACAAGTGACATATGCAGAAGATCGCTCTGTGGCAGGGAGAAAAATCAGGCTGAATATGATTAATAAATAAAAGAAATAAAGATCGTCATATACAGCTGTGGAAAATAATTTCAAAGAGCCCACATGAACTACTTCAGATTTTATAACAACCTGGTGAAAAGTCATAAAAATAAACTTGAAAGGAAGACTGCAGGAAAGGAGAAAAAAGAGAGTCTCCAAGATGGTCAAGGCTAAAAATGATATTCAATTTTACTGTGATGAAAATTTCTTTCCTCACAAAGAATTCACTGTGTGCTAGACTGAATTGTTTAGACAAAAGATAAATATGCCCTGATAAACGCACCGTTAATTGCAAATACCCTAAGTTGAAAATGCATTTAATACACCTATCTTAACGAACGTCATAGCTTTGCCTAGCTTACCTTAAACATGCTAAGACATTTACGTTAGCTTACGAGTGGGCAAAATCATCTAACACAAAGCCTGTTTTATAATAAAGTGTTGACCATCTCATGAAATTTATTGAATAACATACATTATGTCAAAATTGTGAAGGTTTTACACCATCGTAAAGTTGAAAAATATAAGTTGAACCATCATAAGTGGGGGACTGTCTGTACTAGGGAAATGAAAGTTCCTGTTCTAAAATGTTATTTTATTTTTCAGTGAATCTTTTGGCAAGTAAGAAACCACTTCTCCTGGGACTGCTGTCAAATACTAATAGAGACCCCAAATCAGATGTTAGAGTTCTATAAATAAAATAAATCCAAACAACCCTTACTGGGGCCACTATCCCTTTAAGCAAAAAAATATAACAGAATACATCTACAGAAAAAGATGTGCTGTAAAAAAATTGATCTGTAAAATAAATAAAGGAAATACCATTTTCCATTACTTGTAATGTCAAAGAATGTTTCCATAAAAAACTTCCTCCAGAGGGTTTAGTTGAGCACTTCATGTGAGCAAGAAGCTAAGAGAATTCATTGGAGGGCAGATGGGTCTCAATACTGACCAGACAGGAGTGGTAAGCTCACTAGTGATTCGCTCTTTTTTTGTAGCAAGTCCCTGCATCCAAGATCACTTGCCTATAGTGGATGAAGTCTGTTAATTCTCTTCTAGGCCAGGAGATTCTGCATTTGCTTGGAAACCCGGCAATTTCTCACACCCAGCTTTTATACACGTGGGTCCTGATGCTGGCTCTGGTCTTTACGACGTACTTACAGAATTATAAAAAGTAAAGGGAAGCCCACTAGGATTCAGATTCTACCAGCTACAACTTAGCCCTTGGGCAATTCAACTATGTTCTTTGATCTTCAGTTGACTCATCTCTAAAGTGGGCTGAAGTATGGATTAGAGAACAGAATGTGTATAAAAGCATTTGTAAACTGTAAAACATACAAGTGGTACATTGTAAGCACTCAAAATACTGGTTGAATGAATAAAATATGTGCACCCCATTATTAGATTTTCATGGTGGTTTATCAAATATCTAAGACAAAGGATACATTTTAATAGTGATGTACTTTATTTTGGTCCTGCTTCTTCAAAAACAAAATCTTATTAGAGAGTTTATGCAATTAGACAGCAATAAGCAATATTTAATTTCTAAAAGAAAAAATAACTCATTTTAGAGGTACATTATATTTCTAAAACTTCCATTTGATACCAGGTTTGCAGCACAGAGAAAAAAAATAGAAGGAAAAATTATAAAAGATCTCTGACACTCACACTGGCTACTAACCTGAACCAACACCATGCCTGGCCATCAATCAATGAACTCAATTCCTCCATATTTTGAAAGGTGTATAAATTTAGCTCTATCGGATTGCATAGGGCACAGGTGTTATAAATGTACTCAATTTTATCTGGTTTACAATGTCTTTGTCCTGTTCAACTATTAAATTTGAACTACATATCCTTCCAAACACCGGTGAGCTAAACTCATTATATCTTAAATATTTTTGAAAACCAGGGCCTATATCCTTAGATAATGACTATATTTCACTTCCAAGGTACTATAATCCAAAACGTGTCCTGACTAATAATGAAGGCAATACTGTGGTGATAAATTAATACACCAATATAGGTCACCTGAGTTATTTTATATCTAAATTAAGAAATACACTACAGGGCTGGCTGGTTAGCTTAGCTGGTTAGAGCGTGGTGCTGATAACACTAATGTCAATGGTTGAATCCCTGTACTGGCCAGCCACCCCCACAAAAAAATAAAATAAAATAAAAATATACACGAATTGGTGAATTCCGAACCAAAGTCCAACTCTCCTGAAGATTCCCTATTATACAGCCTTGCACCTAGAAGACATGAAAAAACTCTTCTTTTTGACTTCCTTATAGAAATCCATTTCCCTAAATATATGCTTCCATCTAACCTCTAAACCACCCTCCTGGATCACTGAATATAAAATGTTAATATTCAACACTTATTTTTCTTTATATCTTTTGGATACTGTTAAATGCAAGTTTAGCTTATCTTGAGGGAAAAAGTTGGAAATTAAGCGAAAACTTCGCATTAAATCCATCTATTCGAGAATATACATGATATATATTTAACACACATATTTTTTGAAAGCCCACTTATACTCTAGGTAGTCAGACAAAAATACCTGGGAAAAAACTATATCATTCTCATATATAAATATCTTCTAAGAAACGGTGAAAGTAATATGGGTAGATTGGGTGATTTGGACATTCAATAATTTATTGGCTGACTGAATGAATATATAAATGAATGAGTGCACACAGCTTTGTATTATGCCTATGAGAAGCCATGTCTGGCATTAAAGGTACATGTTGCTTTTGTGGACCAGCCTGACTGTGTGGCTCAACTGGTTTTCTCCTTTTCTGTTTAGGCCTCCCATACTGCTGCCCTTGGCCAGGACTTCAGATTTATATGCCCCATCTTTCTCCATTCTCAGCTATCCTGACTAGAACATTACTTTAAATTTGAAAATTCATTTCATCAATTGCCTTAGGCAGTAACCCTTCCTAGAATGATCTGTTTCCAGGTTCTTACCTTACCTGCCCACCCAGATTATCTGGAATTCTGCAAATGTATAAAAAACAGTATAATCTCACAAACCAATCAGGAAAATCCCTCACCTTCCTCCTACCTGCATTAGTACTTACTTTTTGTCTTCTCTCCTGATAAAAAAGATGCATCCTGACTCCTTTAAAGCCAAACCTCCATCGTGCTCTAGGTCCTACCCTCCTATCTTCTCAAGGACTTTGCCCTTGCATTTATCATCCCTATTTTTTGTATCTCAATCACTTCTTCTCTGATAGAGCAATCTCAAGAAGATAAAAACAAGTCCTAAAAGCTCATACCTTAAAAAAAAAACCTTCTCTTTACCCACATTCAGCTACTGCTCTATTTCTCTGCTTCCCTTCGCAGTAAAAGTTTTGGAAAATGATCTACATTCTCAGTCTCTACTTCCTCACCTCTCACTCCTACTTTAAACCACACTAATCTACTGAAATTGCATGTAAGGTCACCCAATGACCTCTATACCTCACCAAGTGTCTACAAGACACTTCTCTGTATGCCTAGTGGCACCTGACACAATCACATCTCTCCTATGCACGTTCTTCTCTCGGTTCACATGACACAATGCCTATGCTTTTCCTATTTCACAGCTGCTCCTTCTCAGTTTCTTAAGCTTTCCCCAACCTTCCAGGTAGTGCATCCTCCAGCATGACAGAGTAATACCTTATATAGGCTTCACCTGACCTCAGGATCCAATCCTGCATCCTCTTCTCTTATCAGTGCTTTCTACCTCCTGCTCCATGGTTTGAGGTACTATTTATATGCTGCTGATATGTAAGTCTATATTTGCACTCTGACCTCTCTGCTGATCTCTGAGACTCATACCTCAATGCCAACCTAACACCTCCATTTGGATATCTAATTGACACCTCAAAGCAATTATGGCCAAAATGGACCTATATGCGTCCTACCCAAACTTAATGTTTTTACACTCCTTCCTAACTCAGGGAATGGAAGGGCATTCTCCCAGAGACTCAAACCAAAACCTTAGGAGTTAAGCTAATTTTCTTCCTGATCCAAATATATTAGAAAATCTACTTCAAAAATACATCTAGAATTCCATTCTGTTTTCTCCTTCCAATTCCGTTACTGGCATGCCATATAAACTACCATCAACTCTTGTTTAGACCTCTGCAAAAGCCTGGTCTCCCAGCTCTCACCGATGCCTTTCTTTAATCTGTTCCCTTTGCAGGAACCAGAGTAATATGTTAAAATATATACCAGATCATGTCACACCCTTGTTTAAAGACTATTCAGTGGCTTTCTATCGTCGGTAGAGTACAACCCAAATTTGCTTTCAGGACAAGAAAGCGTAGGGTCACTTTTGACTGTGTTTCTGGCCTGCCCTGATATTGAACTCCCTTCTCTGACCATGTTCCAGCCACACTGTTGTCTTTCCAACACACACGACACGTTCTTTCTCACCTCACAGCCTTTTGCCCACTTTTCCTTCAGTGCAATGCACTTTATGCCTGACTTCTCATTCTACAGGTCTCAGCTGGAACATCACTATCTCGAAGAAGCATTCTTTCCTACCCTATGTAAACTCTCCTAACTCCTTCTTCCTCCCAGTTACATCCTTCAAACATTTACCATACTCTTTTCATTATTTGTTTATCTGCTTAGCATGTCTTCACTGAAACCAGACTCCTTGAGGGAAGAAATCTTACTAAAATTATTACTGCTGTATCTCTAGCCTAGCAGAGTGCCCAGAACCTGATAGGCAATCAAAATATTTGTTCACAGAATGAATAAACAACCATTTTCTGGCCCTAAATTTTATGTAAAAAAATTCACAGAATTTCTGTTTTTCTTTTTCCTTTAAAAAAAAAAAAGAAAGAAAGAAAAGAAAATACTGCACCCAGATAGAAACAATTACTCCTAGGAAGCATTCTGAAACCAAAAGTACACTGACAGCGAGCAAATGTTATCTATACCTTTTCCCGTGGAACTTCTGTTACTAACTTTAGAGAAAGTTTATTCACAATTTAAATGTAAATAGCCACCAAAAAAATAAAATACCTAGGAATTGAGCTAACCAAGGATGTGAAAAATCT